CGGCTTGATTGAGACCCATTTCATCAACAATTGCAGCGATAGTGACTCTTGTGCCAAAATGAATCACAGGAAGGGCGATCGGGGGGTTTGCTAGATCATATGCCAATGACTCAGAATCTCGGTGTTTATGACTACGAGTTCTGCTGGCCGAAGCGTTTGGTAGAGCACAACGTCGACGTCGATGCTGAGATATTGAGATAAGTTGAAGGGGCAGAGGTAGATGGCTGCTCTATTGGATCTAAAGAAAAGGCTTGATCTGGCCTTGGTGATAAAGTAGCTAGTGGAGTTGTGGCTGATGGAGGAGTCTTGCTTCGGTAGGGAACGTCGGGCAAGGCAGACTTGTTGGTCGGGATATAGTTGAGCAGTAACGGGGCTTTGCACTTCTCAATTGGCAAACCCAAAAGCCTTTTCAAACCTGGGCTAGGGAAGGTGCTCCAGTGGAAGTCTTTTGATGGTTAAGGGAGAACTGCAAAAAACAAGAACCATATATTAGTACAGATAGATGAATTGACAAGTTTTAACAGAGACGGAGTTATAGGATGGCTAAGTCCTTACCCTCGTCTTCCCTAAAAACTCCTCGACGTAGGGAAAAGAGATGAAAATCATCATCAGGTGCGAACTCCCAATTGCCTGAGATGATCAAGTAGTCATTTCCAGCACCCTTGTTGGAGTCTAGAGGTCGGCTATGAGTTTGTAAGCAGTGAATCTGGGCTTGAGGTAGTATGTGTAGCCTTTGTCAGACTTAAGGCCACACATTGTGCAACAGAACTGAGCTTTTTCTCGGCGTGCTAGCTCGATTATACCGTTGATAACCCTATAGGAGTTAATGGCTAGTTGCATGGGGTTAAGCTTGTAATAGTGAAGGATTTCCGTAAACAGGATGTCTAGAGGGAATCAGAGTCCACATTCAATGAATACAACCACGGGAAAGGGCATGAAGTCTCCAGTAGGCATGTTAGAGTCCTCCTCCCCAGCGAACTTGATTTGGACGTCGGCGGGGATAGAAAACTCTTGACGAAAGTATTCAAGTTTGGTTGAGGTGTCTACCCTCCACCTAAACATACCCATGATCATGACTTAAAGTATTTTTTTGGTGAATTTTAGAGAAAAATGCACTGGCAAAGGTTTTAGAACCTCAGCTAGACCCTAAACAAGCACTAGGGCAAGGATTTCTAAAAATCTAAAGGGAAACTCGTCTCGGTTTTCCTAAGAAACAGAGTTCTAGAGAAAATCTCAAACCTAGAAGTATAGAAACAATAAACAGAAGCAAAAATCTGGAAAACAAGCCAGGAAAACAGAAAGGAACATTAATCAGAATCAAGAAAGTAACATTCAAGAAGCGTGAAAAATTCATAAACACTGAGTAGGTGTGTGCAAGTGTGCAATAATAAGGAGCAATGACAAATTGAACAAAAATAAATCATGGCATTCAGCGAATGAACACAAGGCAAAATTCAGAAACAATGAAGCATAACGAAGAACAGTAAAACAGGTTCAAAAACAAATTTGCAGTATCTAAACATGGCAATCGGAATTTGAGAGCGAATAAAGAATTCAAATAGTAGAAAAACAAAGTATAAATACAGATGTAAAATTTCACAGATACAGAGTGGAACATGTGGCAAAACTCAAAAAGAAGATATACTAAAGAACATGGCTAGAAATTAAAACGAAGTTTATGACTTACCAAGTGAAGTCGATACAACAGAAGCCGCAAAAAGGCTTGCTAGAGACAGACAAGAAAAGCTAACGACGGAAAGCTTGCCGGGGGAAATGATCTCAAAGGTTACAAGGAGCTCGAGAACGCCGCAATGGAGGGTTTGGTAGTATATAGCAACAGAGTTTGAACATAGAGAGAAAATGCGAGAATGTGAAGTGAAGAGGTAGAGAGAGAAAGAATAAGTTTTGTTAAAAATACGAAAAGGCAGCAAAACATAATGAAATGCCTTAGACGACGCGCTTGTCAGGCGGCATGGGCAGAAATGACACGCTCTGGCAGCGCATGTCAGGTACGAAGCAATGAGGAAAGGACGCGTGTATGAAACGGTTGCCAAGACTATGCGTGACAGCTCATACGCGGTTAGGAACTCTTGAAATTCTTGAAGTAATGAGGCCATAACCTCGGCTAAAGGAATGATCTCAATTGACATTCTCAAAGAACTTGGTTCTTGGTTCTTAGTTCTTGGTTCTTGGTCCTTGATAGAATGGGCAGCAGAGTCTTGATAACTTGAAGCCAACGAGTCATAATCTCGATTGGAGAGATGAATGGATTATTAGCCGACATGATATATGGACAAACGATGTAGGTTCCATTACCTCAGGTTACCGAGGTAATAGAACCTAGGGGGCAGTTGTGGGAACGTATTTTTTGAATAACAGCACGTGGCTAAGATGACGCTGAAGTGTCAACCAAGGTGCCACATGGCCTGTTCACACTGCCGAGATGATCTCAGCTAGGCCAAGGTTATTTACGGAGATACCGAAGTCCGAAATAAGTGGATAAGGGACAACAGTCCTAAAACAAAGGAGGATCTTAGTCTGGATAAAGATAAAGCTTAGGGAGAGTCTATCTCTATCTAGCTGAGGGTCCAAGAGAAGCATTGAGCCTGAGTCCATTGAAGCAAGGCTTCTAAAGGGATCAGGTCACTGCTGGTTATAAAAGCAAGGCACCTTCATGGGTCTAAGGTAAGTTCTTTCTTGTGAGTTTAAGCACAATTTGCTATCTTTGAGAGATATAGATTACTGACATGATCATCGAATTGCCCCCGGGTGAACGAACCACCGCCGGATTCTTATTTTCTTGTGCAGGTTATTGGGCTTAATCTATTTTGTTAGTGCTCTCCAGCTGAATTCCTTGTTTGGTTGTATAGTTGGAAATCAACACCCACAAACCCAACATAGCAAAAAAACGAAGAACAATGAAGAAATAGAAATTGAAAAACTTATTCACCCAAAAAATAAAAAATAAAAAACAAATTGAAAATTGAAATAGGATTGAAATTTGAAATCCATGTACGATTAATGAAAATCATCTCTCCTTCAGTATGGAGAGACGATCTGCTAAATCAAAGATAATTTCGAAGATCGGCTATCCATATCTCCACTTCTCTACGAAATTTTTCAAATTACGGATGTCAGACTCCGAAATCAGCTCTGAACCTGCAATATCACTTAAAACTTCACGATCTATGACCGTAAACCGTCGAACAACTTCCAGCTCTACAGACTCTGCGACAACCATCTTTGTATCCTGAGAAACTCGTTCACCATCGCTTTCACTCGTACATATCCCACTAACTGGAGTGCCCCCCTTCTGTTTGCTGAGATCCTCCATTAAATCATGTAAACTGACCATAACCTCGATGCATTCAATGAAAGATTGAATTCAGAACCCTAGAACAAAACACAGTTCTAAAGAGAATTAGGAGATTCTCTCTCTAACCCATTCCTTACACTCTCTCCTCCTCCTTCCTCTCGATCTTGAAACTCTGCAAATTTTTTATTTTTTTTATTTTTTGGGTCTGGCTCACCAAAATGACGTCGTTTTGGCAAGGAATCATCTCAGCCATTGGTTCTATTAATGGGACACGTCACGCCATAAAGGATCACTCTAGAGGATCCAGACACTATGATTTGAGTGTGGAAAATTTGTTTGGTTATGAGTTTTGAAAAGAGTTTGAATTGAGTGATGTGACATATGATTTTTTATTCAAAAATTTACAACTCATAACCAAACACACAATCCAAAATTCTATCCAAAACTCATAAAAAAAATTAAAAAATTCCCAAAATATTTTTTATTTAAAATATATATATATATAAATAAAAAATAATATTAAAAAAATCCTAACATTGTTCCGGTCAACCGACCGAACGATCGGGAGGATGTCCGGGAGGATGACCGGGTAGATGTGTTTTGAAAAGTGGGTGTGGAATCAATTTTTAAAAACTGTAAACAAACACCATACTAAAACCAAACGGTGGAATCACACTTTGAAAGAACTCAAATCCTTTCACACAATCAAAAGTCAGATAGCTCCCTATGTTGTAGTTGCAAACAAGCAAGTGTTGAAGTTTATAGTTTGATTATTGCTTTGGAAAAATATGTAAAAAAAGGTTTGCTTAAGATCTAAGGTTTCGAGGTGACAAAGATTTTGGAATGAACTCAATTTTTTTATTACTCAAACACAAGATTTCCACTCTTGTTTAGTTTTCTTTATACTTGATGGAAAATTATACTTGACAAGAATCGATCAATTTCAATGAAATCCCAAGGAGCTATTTTTAAAATATAGGAAGTAAAGTGTCATCAGACAATATTGTAAATTGATTTTTGCTTTATTTCCAATTTTGAAAGATTTGAAGAAAAAAAAAAAGTTTAAGTTGAAAATTTCCTTTTAAGCTCCAAATTGACCATATATGTTAAAGTACTTAGAAGCAAGCAATAATAATTGCCTCTCTCTTTTTTTCTTTTTCTTTTTCTTTTTTTTCTAACTTGAAAAGCATAAAAATTATGATTATGCCTATTAAAAGCCATTGTTTCAAAAATGTTTTCAAAAATTTTATAGTAATTGGAAATCATAGATCTCATAACTCAAATTGTTTTCCAATGTTTTGTTTAGTTTTTGGGCAATGCCTGAATAATTTATATGTCGCTTAATCTTATATATCATTCTGGACACAGTAATTAACCCAGTAATTCATGAAGCTATCATCCGTCATCATTTTATTCTATCCACTCTTTCTATATATCAAAAAAAATCAAAAAAAAAACAAAAAACAAAAAAAAAACAATTCTAAAAATATAAATTGTTTTTCTAGTCCTTGCGAATGATATGTTAACAAAAACTTAAAAATGAAATTTAATTACTAATTTTGTGTCCCTAAAAAAAATGTGCATTTAAACATATAATTACAATAAATAAATAAAAATTATAAAGAGTCTTACTGTTGTTGTCTTAAATCTCAAATAAACTTGAACCTCCTATGTTCACAAAGCTTGACAACATAACTAATAACAAGCGTTACTAATAATTGTATGTGCTTTGCAAACCTTATCACAATAGCTATCATAGGAAAATATACAATAGTTATGCCTCTGTTTACAAAGCTTAGGTGACAACATAAACAAGTTTAATAATAAATATGGAAAAACCCATCATATGTAGCTTAAAAATCTTATCACAACAGCCAACATAGGAAAATAAATAATAACTATGCTATCCCTACAAACCGAAAATAAACTTTTCTCCATGACACTTTGATCCATAAAGTGAAGCAAACACCACAAAGTCCCACAAGGAATCCAGATCCCATGCTAACATAGAACCAGAGCATTTCATTATCATTCTTAGCACCATTGTCTTTTGAGCCTCCTCCACCAGAACTAGATGAATTAGATGTATGATCTTCATCACCCGAGCACCTGGTGGGAAGAAGAAACCCACACAATAAAGGATTATCTGCATAAATTGACGAATCATCGAGTGTTTGGAGTTGGTTTCCTGATGGGATTCTTTCTGACAAGTTATTGTGTGATAGATTCAAGTGATTCAAAAAGGTTAAAGTTGAGATGCTTTGTGGAATGGGTCCAAAAAGATTGTTGTTCGAAAGATCAAATGTTTCCAATAATCTAATGTTTCCAATCTTCTCAGGGATGCTTCCTGTTAGCCGATTCCATGAAAGATTTAAGGTTTCCAATGCAGTGAGGCTTGTGATATCTTCAGGGATTTCACCCATTAGATTGTTTCGAGAAAGATCAATGATATTGACAAATATAAGATTTTTTCCATATTCCAATTCTCTACCTTTTTCCACCACAGTTATACTCCACATAAAGTTGGCTTCGCTCGTAGGGTTCTGTTGAGCGTGCACCATTTTCATAAACCAAATAAGTTAAATTGTGTAAACAATTAGGAATAACCCTTGAAATGTTGTTGTTTGCAAGATCTAAGATGTGAAGAAATGGAAGATTGCACCATTGTTGTGGGATGATTCCACTAAAAGAGTTTGAGCGCAACTGTAGCATCCAAAGTCCAGTCTCCCCTATCCATGAGGGTAATTTTCCAAATAGTCTATTTCCTCTGAGATCAATTCTCGTAAGTGAACAATTCTGCAAAGAAGAAGGAATTTCACCCTCTAGGTTGTTATTGCTCAAAACCAACATAAAGAGAGAACTAATGACCCCAATTGAACTTGGAATAATACTAGAGAGATTGTTGTGTGCCACGTCTATGACCATCAAGTATTGTGACCCATTCCAACATTGTGCGAGCTCCCCGGATAATTGGTTTGTCCTAAGGGAAAGTACTTGCAAGCTATTCATGGTACAGATGGATGAGGGGATTGTTCCATTCAAATGGTTATCTGAGAGATACAAACCTCGCAGTTGTGGCATTAGGTCGTCAATATTTGATGGTATAGATCCTGAAAACAAGTTGCTCTGCAGATGAAACTGGGATGTATTAGTTGACCAAAGTGGCAATGAACCCTCAAAACGATTATAGCTCAAGTCAATAAAACCTAATATTGGAGATTCTAACTTCTTAGGAAACTTCCCTTTGATTTTGTTGTTAGACAGATCCAAATAGGTAAGCTGAGCAGAAATCTTGGAAAGCCATTCTTCAGGTAAGTTGTCCTCAATTCCAACATTATTAAGGATCAAAGAGATGAGTTCACTCTGAACTTGAAGCCATACAGAAAATCTGGGACCAACCAGGCAGTTTCGTAGATCAATAGATTTGAGCCTAAAAGGGGGAATCCATTCATATGTGACATTGAAAACCAAGGATGTTTTGGTTTCTAGTGCTATGATTATATCCTCTAATCTTGTGAGATTCATCAAATGAACTTCTGTTATGACGCCTTTCCATGGATTTCCTTGGAGATACAACTGAACGAGCTTTGTGAGTTTTCCAAAACTTTCAGGAATTGTTCCATTCATATTATTGGATCTGAGGTCCAAATATTGCAATGACGACATATTTCCAATTGAAGTTGGAATTGAACCCCAAAAAGAATTCCAACTGAGGTCAAGATATTGCAAATTCTCAAGTATTCCTAATGAATCAGGCAATTCCCCACCAAGTGAATTAGGTACCTGACCTTCAATATCCCCACTACTATACATATAAAGGTATTCCAGAGAAATCAAATTACCAATTTCACTAGGAATGGTACCTTGGAAAGAGTTCATGCTAAGATCAAGTGTTCTTAGTCTTGTAAGATTAAACATCCAGTGAGCAATTGAAGAGTTATATGAATTGTCCGAGATATCAAGGACTGAAAGCAAAGTGAAGTTGATGAATGGAAGGGAGATTGGAAGCGAGATTGGAAGATAACAACCTGGCAAATGTAACTCCACAAGAGAAGGAAGCATATTAACTGCTTGCAGCCAATCTTTTACAATGTCAACTTGTATTCCTCCCATGTTAAGGTAACGCAAAGAAGAGAGACCAGAAACCCACTGCAGGTTTACAGTGCGTAATCCATAAAACTTACAATAGAGATCAAGATGATTCAGGTCTGATAGATTTCCAAGCTGAGGTGGAATTTCTCCACCGAATGATGCCGATGAGAGATTGAGGTATCTCAAATTCTTAAGCCTACCGATGAATTTAGGAATTGGAGTTCCTTTAAAATCATTTAAACTTAGATCCAAATACTGCAAATATTTCAAGTCAAGCAAGGAAGAGTTTATATCACCGCCCAAACATGACCTTTCATATGACCTTTCATATGCCGTGTAGTCTTGATCTATTAACGCAATCCCAGATCTGCTAGATGGAAATGGATTTCTCAAATCAAGCTTGATGACATGTCCAGATGTCTTGTTGCATTGAACACCACTCCATTGGCAGCAAACATTGCCTATCTAAGAAGAAAGCCTATTTGAAGGATCTTTGAGGCCTTGCTTGAAGGCAAAAAGTGCTTCCCTGTCTGTCTGTATGCATTTGATCATACTTGTCACATTGTCAGCGGTGGCCATGTTGAATTTGATGAGCAAAAACACTATGGAAAGGAAAGTGATAAGAATTGAACATCTAGAATTGATTGAGGAGAAATTGGTATGAAAATTGCACATGATATGGTTGTTGTGGTTGTTCATCTGCAAAAATGATTAATTGTATAAGCATCAAAAAGATGAAGTCGTAACACATTGAAAATTTAAAATTGATATTCTGTAACAATTATAGTGTCATTGTTTTTTTTTTTTTTTTTTTTGGTGTGAGTGGTGTCTTGCCCTCATAGGGTTTGCTATGAATCTCACTCTAATAGTCTAAATCATCTATTAAAAAAAACATATATAATATTCATAGTTACATGATTTCATTAGTATTGATTTTTTTTCTTTTGGGGCATTTACACATAAATCTTAATTTATGAACTTATACTCCATAATAAGTCATTAAGTCTTAATTAAAAAATTTTGGACCTTCAAGTCTCATTAAATTTTTAATAGTTGGAATTAACTTTCAAATAATGATTGTTGATTATTTATGATTATCTATAAAGGAACATGATGATTTGACATTTATTTTGATTTTCAAAATTTTAAAACATCAACTTTCAAATTAAAAAACTGAAGAAAAAAATTATGTGCAAAAAAAAAAAAACTAAACTAAATAATTTTTTTGTGTAAAATTGAAAATTTTGTGTCTATAAAGGATCATGATGATGGAACATTGAAGTGCAAAAAAAAAATTAAAAATGAAAAAAACTGATAATGTTCTCAGTTTTATTGGATAGTTGAATCAAACCAATAAATAGAGGGGCAAAAACATTTAATCTTATGTTTTATTTTTTTCATCAGTTAGTGAAACAATTATCTGAAATATTACTATGCAAAATTAATAATGTTCTTAGTTTTTAAAATTGGAAAAAAACTAATAATATGTTCAGTTTTACTAAATAGGACTTATTGGTTCAAAAAATCTTAGATAGGACCTGAACTACCATAACATTTATAAATAGGACTTTTAGGTAATTAATTATTTTCTCTTTTCTTTTTTAAGTGATGGATCGCAAGTATGATTTTAAGAAAATTACCGATGAGTGTGATTTTTCTTTGAAGATTACCATTAAGTCCTATCAAATTTAAATATAAACAACTAGGCCCTATGTTTTTTTTTCTAAATTGTTCCCAAAAATTTTAATCCCCCCGTAATAATATATTTTATTCCAATTTATCATTCATTTAATATGAACAACAATTTCATGAATAATTTTAATTTATTTAAATTTTTATAATAAAAAATATTAATTACTGAAATTGAGAATTTTAAACAAAAGTATAAGCATAAGGTTCATCAATTATCATTATCTTTTTCTTTTTTTCAATCAATAGGGGACTGACCATATTATATCACCATATCTCTCTTATATAATTAAAAGTAGTGTTTACCTTCAAAAATTTTATCTCTTCTATATGACACATCTCTCTTCTCTTAATTTTATTTTATTTTTTTTAAATGTCATGTAACATACCCTTATACTTAATTTTTTTTTAAATTTTAATATTTAAAAAGCTTCTACTTAATCTAAACTACCCATAAATAAAACTTAATAGAATTATATGTACTAAAAAATACTTTAAGAATTAATTTTCTTCTATTTTTCTCACTTTTATTCAAGTATTTAATTTTTATATTAAAATTAAATATATTTCTTGTTTTTTTCGTTTACCTTTATAGCGATTCCGATTTTGACCTGACCTTTATTGTATTTCGGACTCGGGTTTCTTGGTTTAGTGTTGTTGTTCATCTCTTATTCTCCTTTTTTTTCCCTTAAGTTTGTTTTTTGGATTGTTGTGGTTGTGTTTGGGATAGGTAAGGTGCTTGATTTCCAAACTTTTGTTGCTCAGATTTTTTCTCCTCTACCTGAGCGACACTTCTTACGCTTGGGCAGGCTTTCCAAACTCTTAGTACTTTTACAAATCTGCAAAACTACTAGGAGAATGTATTCTACGCTTGAGCGGTCCTTTCTGCGCTCGAGCGGGCTCAACTCAAACTGCCATTTCTTGTGCTCAAGCGTTTGTCTATTGTCTGCAAAACCACTGGATGTGTGTTTTCTACGCTCGAGTGTCACTTATTGAGCTCGACCAGTGAGTGTCTTTTTCGTTGTGTCTTAGCGATCGAGCGACACTTCTTACATTCGAGCGAAACAACTTATTGTGTCTAACGCTCAAGCGTTACTTCTTGCGCTCGAGCGGACTGTGCGCATATCAGATCACGAAGTGACTTTTTACGTCACTTTCTCATACCTTTTTCTCTCTCTACTTTTCAAAAACCTTAGATCTAGAGCCTCTCTCTCTCTACATTTTCACCTAGTTCTAGTGATCTCTTTACCCATTTGTCTTTATTAAAAAGGTAGAGCATCTCAAGGGTTACATTTTGATCCGAATAGAGCTTGGTTTCGGTGTCTTTGAAGTTTCTCTGTTGCACCATTGATCTTCTAAACTTGAGGTAGGGATCTTTCTATACCCTCATATGATTTTTAACTTAGATATTGGTTGTTGTGTGAACAATGTTGGGATTTTGGATGATTTGAACAAACCTAGGATTTGGGTGTGAAATGAAAGAGGGGTTTCCGAATGTACATAGTAAAAAATGGCTATGGGAGTAGATATTGTCACGCCCCACTTTTTATTACTCAAAGTATTATCAATTTCATTTACTTAATTCCATTTCGGAGATAACATGCGGAAATAAACTCGTATATTCAACTTGTAGAAGTGAATAACATTGCTCTCATTCGTATGCAAGTAAATACAACATGAGTACACCAAATAAATTGCCCTTGGGCTTACATCATTAAAAGTCAAGAAGAAGGGTATAACCCTTTTTATATAAATGGCATTTCGCCAACACAAAAGAGGCCCCGTGGCCAACAAATAAGAAGATCCAACCTTGTAGAACATCCTGGCTATTACCTGAAAAAGATTCAACAACGTGGGATGAACATATAGTCCAGTAGGGATCTCAACATGATCTCCAACAATAACAACTTACAGATAGCTATGATCATGAATGTTCATTCTCATACTAGAATAGTAATGTGGCAGTTTATACAAAATATACATAAGTATGAACTTTTCTCGAAAACAGCCATTTCATTCGACGCTATAAGCGGTTTCTAATTCAAAAATTGACTTGATTTGTGTGTTATTAAGAATTTTTAGAACATTATGGTAGATTTAACTAAAATTCGATTTGGAACGATTAAATTAGATTAATTTAATGCCCACTTAATTAGCCTTAATTAATTATCATTAAGTGGGCTTATATAAGGCTTCTTATATGCCTTCACTCTTTCTTTTTCTTCATTTCAACACATTTGAGCTCACACACACAAGAAAAACATGGGAGAGAGAGAGAGAGAGAGATAGAAGAAAATTGAGATCAAAAGTTGGGATATGAGAGAATTACTAGGAATTATTGGAGATTTGCAAAGAATTTGGAAATTGAAGCTTCCTCACTTGTGCAATTTAAACTCTAGGTAAGAGTTTAGGGGTGGGCGCGGGTCGGTTGCGGCCACGGAACCTCTAATCCGCCATCCGTCCACCAAATTGGCGGATTGGAGAAAATCAATCTGCATCCGTCTGCCAATCCGGCGGATGTGGATTGTGCGGATTGGCGGTTTGGTGGATGGATGCGAATCGGTTTGGCGGTTTAAGATTTTATGAATTTTCAACATAATTCAACTTGTGCACTTCCTCAAAAAAAAAAGAAAAAGAAAGTATTACAGTCAATGACTTAAAAAACTATTACAATTA